CGGGCCGAGGCGCTCCGGGCAGCCGGGGCCGGGCGGGGCCGGCCTGGCACAGGGCGGGCCGGGCGGGGCCGGGCTGGCACAGGGCGGGCCGAGGCGCTCCGGGCAGCCGGGGCCGGGCGGGGCCGGGCTGGCACAGGGCGGGCCGGGCCGGGCCGGCCTGGCACAGGGCGGGCCGAGGCGCTCCGGGCAGCCGGGGCCGGGCGGGGATCGCCCGCGGCCCTCACGGGCACCGCCCGCGGCGCGAGGCGGCTGCGCGCGCCCGGCCCCGCCCCGGCCCGCGGGGCCGCGGGGCGCCACCGCCCCGGGCCGAGCGCGGCGCTCGGCAGAGCCGGCGGGGCCCGGCAGGAGGTGCTGTCGCTCCGCGGACGGAGGTAAGAGCGGCTCTAGCGGTATCGCTATTCGCTTTATTTATTTATTTTCGTAAACGCCGCGGAATGGGGTTAGCCTTGTGCGGGGCTGGGCGGCGGGGGCCGCGGCCGGGAGGTGGTTCCCTCAGCCGGCGCGGAGGGCAGGACAGTGGCAGGGACTCCCCGGCGGGGAGCGGGGCCCGGCGGCGCTCCTGGGGCGGGCGGGCGGCTCTGCCGGGCGCTCGGCTGCTGCTTGGCCCGGCGGCCCGGGGCTGCGTCGGGACGGGGCGAGCCGGGTCCCGGCCCCGCCGGGGCTGGCGGCGGGGACCTTCGGGCGAGGGGTCTTCGGCTGCTTTTCGGCTGTGCCACCCCACCGAACCCATGGCTTAGAACTAACGCCGAGCAATAAGTTATTGCTATTCCGAAAGTAAATAGACGGGTTACTCCCAGATGGGGCTCCTGCTCGGATCGGTACAATAAATATCCCTGAAGGAAGCTCTCTATTTATGTTGTCATTGATTAATTCTCGCTACCTCATTTGATTTCGATTTAGAACGATTTGATTCTAATTTAATTAGCATGTAATTTGGATGTACATAATTACTGTAATTATGACATTCAGGTGAGGCAGCTTTAGGCTGAAAGGCAATTTCAAATTTTCTAGCAGCCTACTTTGTGCCGGGGAGCGGACAGGGACCCCGCGCCCTGCCAGCCAGGTACCAATTAGCCCATCTCGGGAGCAGCGCTGCCGCTCGTTTGTGGAACAACAGCGGCGCCGAGGCGGCGGCGGCGGCAGCGCCGCGCCCGGGGCCGGCCGGCGGGGGCCGCGCCTGGCCGCAGCTGCGGGGCCGCGCGGAGATTGCGGAGCGGTCACCGCCCAGGGCCCGGCCTCCCCTCCGGTTGGCGGCCCGAGGAGCGGCGAGGCCGGGCCGGCTGCCCCGGGCCGGGTGTACGCGCGGTCGCGGCGGGCCGGTCCCGCCCCGCCGTCTCCCATAGAAGTTCAGGCTAGCCCGCCCGCTCCCGCCCCAGCCGCCGCGGGCCCCGCTCCCGCTGCCGGCCCCTCGCCGCTGCCCGCCCCGCTCCCGCCGCCGGCCCCTCGCCGCTGCCCGCCCCGCTCCCGCCGCCGGCCCCGCGGCCGCCCCGGCCGCGCCCCCGGCCCGCGGCGGCGCCGCTAGGTGGCGCCCGGCAGCCGCCCTGCAGCCCGCCCGGGGCAGCGCCGCGGGCGTCCCGGGGTGCGCGCCCGGGCTTGTTGTGCTCTGCTTTTTGTCGTGTGCGGAGGGTGTTATTCCTTGAGGAAATTTGTAGCTAAATTATTCTCACTTAAAATAAACACTTAGCGCAGCAATTACTCAAAGGGGCGGGCTGTCTGTTAGCTTCCCTTCATCTGCGTTTTGGAAGGGTGGCAGAGGATCCTGGCGAACAGATAATGGTTGCAAATAAATTACAGCTCCCGCAGATAAAGTTTCCATTTGAATTAAAAGACGCAATTAAGAGGCTGTCCAGGCACGAGATCGGGTGTTTATATATAATCTCATTAGAACAAAAACATTAATGTTACCTTTTAAGTGTAAAACGAGCCGTTGGGTCTGTAACTCGCCGCGGGGGGCAAGGGAGACGTTTCCTGCGAACGGGGGACCTAGCGATCGAATGTCATTTAGTAGATAATTTTTCCTGACATTTTACCTTCTCCCGTCTGTGGTGGTTGCCGTCGCTGGCTGGTTGTTTGCCGTGTTTTAACGGGCTCTCGGAGCAGGGTTGAAGTTGCTGTCCGCAAGGTGTGGAAATGGGCAGCAATAGCTTGGCCAGGATTGTAAATGGGAGCTAGGCTGAGCTCAGGGGTGAGCCCGGGGCGAGCGGGGCCAAGGCGGCAGGGAGCCCTGCTTCCCCTGTTCTTCCCTTCCTGCCGGCGCCCCAGAGGGCATCCTTCTTATTCCCGGTGCTCTCCCGCTCTCGGGTTGGCGTCCTCTTACTGAAGAACTACGGATTCAAAGACCGAAATCAGATTTATTTTTCGGTTCTCACACCGTTTGTTCTTCAGGTGTTTTTTTTGGGTTTTTTTTTTTGTTTGTTTGGTTTTTTTTTTGTGTGGTTTGGGGTTTTTTTTGGTGGTTTTTTTTAGGTTTTTTTTTTTTTTGGGGGGGTTTTTTTGGGTTTTTCTGTGTGTGTGTAGAAGTTCCCTAGACCATATAATTATCTCCAACATTTACGAAAGAATGGTGTCATTTATTTTTTTAAAAGGTGACACGCTTTCTATTTTCTTGGTTAAACGAACCGGCTCTGCGGCCCAGAGCTGCTCCCTTCGTCGATTCTGGGGAGTCTGTAAGTGATGGACGTTTTCTGACCCGAAGGGGCAAAGGCAATGCAAAAAGGTCCTTGATCACTGAGCTGAGAATTGTAACCCCGGCCTGGCAGAAACTGGACCTGCATGGTGTCCTTTGATGTGTTTTATTATAAATCGAAAACAAAGCTGACTTCTGCCCAGCACCCCGCGCGGGTGCATTCCTGCGCAGCCCCCGGGCCGCCCGGCAGGGAGGAGAGCCGGTCCCGCCGCCCGGCCCGTTCTGTGTGTTACCGCCGCCCGAGCGCGTCCCCCGCTCCCCTCCCCTGCCCGCCGGGAAACCTGCCGGCATCCGCTGGGGGCGGGAGGAAGGACACCTTGCCGGGCTGCTTTTGGCCAGGAAAATTCCGGAGCGCTTCTCGGGGAAGGTGCTGTGGGCAGCTGTGATGCGAGGTGCCTCTCCCGGGAGGCTCTCTTCCCCCGGCCCGCGGAACGGCCCGCCGGGCTCCCGCCGCCGCCCCAGGGCACAGGCGGTGTCGGCGCTGCCCGGCCGCTTTTGTGCAACAGTGGCGCGGAGGAGGTGGGACGCGGTTATTAGTATTCACGGCAGATGTATTTTCTTTAACGCAACGTCTTTATTCCAGTTGGTGGCCGACAGCAGAATCCGTTTCCCGATGCTATTTGCATTCCCTGTTTTATGGAGGATTAAAATATTTGTATTCATCCAATCTGTACCGGCCAGAGTAAATTAACTTTTTTTCCTCACCCTCTTTTTTTTTTTTTTTTTTTTTTTTTTATTTATTTTTTTTTTTTTTTTTTTTTTTTTTTATAACACAATTATCTCATTTAACAATTTGCCTTTAAAAAAAATACTGTGGCTGTTAGGTTGGTGGTCAGGAGACAAAGGGAGTGAAAATAATTTTCATTTCAATAATTGCCTTCTGGTCAATTTAACTGTGCCTTATTTTGAAAGAGCCTGTCTAAATGAGATTCCTGTCCCAAATGTGTTCCCAGGCCTTAGCCCAGCCTTTAATTATTCCTGAGTTTTTTTTCTTCAGAATAAGACGCTGCACTGAGTAATCACAAAGAAGTCAGAGAGCATCCTTGAACCTTTTCAATAGCAAAGCCACTGATATTCAAATAACATGCAAGGACCATTTGACTGCATGGGGACATAAGCATTTCCAATTCACTATTTGCATAGATCAACTGTCTTTGAAAAGGAAAGGAGCAGTTGTCTTCCATAACATTAAAAAGCCTAGTTATCAAATCAAGTGCTTAGTTTGGGGCTTTTAAAACGTTTACATTTTATCTTAGGTTGCCCTTTACCGTTTGACATGCAAATTTGGTGCAGTTAATTTGGACAATTAAAAGGATCTTCAAGGGAGCTTTGTCACCGAGAATATTCGGAGTTTTCCCCGTGGACCAGCTGAGATAAAGTTGGCCAGAACAAATGATGTCTAGGAGATTAATTAGATATTTGATAAGACATGAATCCCTAATAAGGGAATACAAGGCACAGGGGGCTGCTGTGTGCTCTAAGTCAAAATTAATAACATTTAACAAGATTTTCATTTAGGCATGAAATGTCTTTTCCGGAGTATTGACTCTAGCGATTTATTCCCCCGAGATCACCTCCCAGCCTAGGCAGCCTTGTGGCGCTGAAGGCTTTTAAAATTAAATAAATAGTTCCTCAGCGCAGTTTGCCTTCACTCGATTTTGGGGACGGTTTCACCAAAGCCACTTAGGTCTCAGCATGGTGTCTGGCTGTAGCAGGAGTCAGACTCGGTTAAAATTTGTTGGTTTTTTTCGTTTTGGTTTTTTTAAGTAAATCAAAGTAAAGGCGGTTTGAAAAGAGCGAGCAGAGTGGTTCAGTGTGCCAGGCTCAGGGGCCAGTCCCATCCCCTCCCAGCTATATCATTGCTGACTGCATTTTTAATCACAGTGACTGTAAAGACGATGGAAAGGGGTGCGAGGGCTCCTACTCAAAAAGTGACCCCTGCGAGGACTGGGTGGGGGGAAGGAGGGGACACGAAGAAGAACAAACCCGTGAGTATATTGTTCAGAGTCCTTTAATAATACCAAAATGAAAATATGTCAAGATTTTTTTCCATACAGATAAACGCATTTAATTTCTTTAAGAGACCTTAACTTACGTGTATTTGAGTGATGTGTTAACTCAACATTTTAAATATCTTTTACATATATACTGACTTCCACAAAGTGCATCAGAAATTTATAATTAAAAAAAAATCAAAACCCCAAAACCTCCCTGAATTTCAGGAATTCACCAATTAAAAAAAAAAATCCCCAACCCCCCTATCAGATCAACATTTACAAGAAAAATAAGGGAACACGATCTGGTTTTCTTTTTTTTTTTTTTTTCCTGATTTTCTTCTTTTTTGAACCCTATTTATACAGATGTTTATGAGATACAGAGGGACCGTCTCAGAGTTGCAGCTGCATTTCTCACCTTAAGCCTCTCTTAGGATGCTTGCCTTCCAAGAGAAAGAGAAAAGGGAAACGGAAGAAAGTGTCACTCGGTACCTACTGGCCGGGCGGGACGGGGGCCGCGCCTCTCCGGGCCCGCCGTGCACCGGCCCGCCCCCGCTGCGGCCCGGGCGCCGTCGGCGGCGGGGCGGCTCGCGTCCCTCCGGCCGGCGCGGGGCACAGTCCGAGCGGCTCCGGCGGCGCTGCCCCTAGGAGTCGCCGGGCCCCGCGGTAGGTTCCTTGCCCGGTCCGCGGGTGGCGGCGCCCACCCCCTCGTGCAGGATGAGGTCGGGGGACTCGGAGCGCGGCGTTTCCAGGTTGCTGGCGTCCGTGTCGCTATCGCTGCCCTTTTTGCCCCCGCCGCCCCCGTTGTGCGTTTTGATGTGTTTGCTCAGGTGGTCGCTGCGCATGAAGCGCTTGTTGCAGACGGGACAGGCGAAGCGCTTCTCGCCCGTGTGAGTCCGCAGGTGCCGCTGCAGCTCGTCGGAGCGGGTGAAGCGCTTCCCGCAGAAGAGCCAGTTGCAGACGAAGGGCCGCTCGCCCGTGTGCCAGCGCAGGTGCGCCTTCAGGTGCGAGGTCTTGCCGTAGACCTTGCCGCAGCCGGGGATGTGGCAGCTGTGCAGCCCCTTGCGCCGCAGGCTGGCCCCCGCCGGCCCCAGCCGCTCGGCCTCCTGGCAGTTGGGGCAGTCGCAGGTGGCGCGCCCCGAGTAGCGGCGGGCGGAGCGGGCCGAGCCGCCCCCGGCGGCCGCGGCGGCGGCGCCCGAGATCATGGCGCTGGCCGCCGCCACCGCCGCGCTAGAGTCCGTGTAGGAGGGCAGCACGGGCTTGAAGCCCTCCTGAGTGAGCAGGTGCTGGCTGGTGGAGAGCAGGTGCGAGGCGGCCGTGGAGCCCAGGCCGGTGGAGCTGAAGGCGGAGTGGGTGAGGGAGCTGAAGTCGGGGTTGTAGGTGCCCAGTTGGGAGTGCAACGAGGCCTGGGGGGCGCCCGAGTGCAGCGAGCTCTGCAGCCCCCCCGCCGGGTTCTGCACCTCAAGCCAGGAGCCCGGGTTGGTGTGCACATCCCACCAGGAGGAGGCCGCTCCGTTGGCCACCTCGCCCGCCGAGAGTGTGGAGTGGAAGCCCGACTTGTACCAGGACTCGTAGGGGTGCGCCATGCCCACCCGCGGGTAGAGGCTCTCGGCCGCCGAGCTGTGCACTTTGGAGATGAAGGCCGACTGCCCGCCGGGCTCCTGCGGGGACACGCCCGCCGCCGCAGCCGAGTTGGAGAAGAGGCCGCCGTAGTCGCTGCTGAAGGCCGAGGAAGTGGGCGAGGTGGAAGCCAGGCAGAAGGCGCTGTTGGCGGTGCCCGTGCCACTGGCCAGTCCGTTGGAACCCCTACTCGTGGCCACCGTGAAGCCCGAGAGGCTGGAGCCCAGGTTGCAGCTGGAGGTGGAACGTTTCCAGGGGTGGAAGCCCCCTTTGGCGAAGGCGCTAGACTCGGGCAGGGTGGTCAGGGGACTAGTGTTGCCGATTTTGTTGCAGGTGGCGGCCAGCATGGCCAGGGGAGTCGTTCCAAATCTCGGCTCTTCCTGCGGGAAGAGACAAAGCCGGCCCGTCAGCCTAACCCTTGCCACCTCGCCAGGCTCCCGCGGGGACACGGCAGCGGGGGTAGAACCGCGGTGCAACGAGCGGTACCGGGGAAAAGTTTTCTCTTATTTTAGAGAAAGGCTCCAGCCCTGCCACGCTCGGCACAACTCGTTTTCCGCCGCGGACCGATCTCGTCGCCCGAGAGATTTACATCGCAAGCGGGTCCCGACGGGGACAAGCGACACGCGTGTTCCGAGAGGGCTGCTCGAGCGTACCGCCGTTAAACCAAAAATCCCGTGGGAACAAAATGCGGCGTCTCCTCGAGCAACCGTACAGTAGCGACGGAAAAAAAAAAGAGATGGCAGCAAGGCGAGCAGTGTTCGGAGCCTTCCAACTGTCGCCTCGTGCAACGCCGGGCCGGCTGAAATCGTTGGAAATCGAGCGTAGTTCGAGTTAAAAAAATAAACAAAAAAATCCCAAACCAAATCAAGAACTAGACAAAAGAAAGCAGAAGCAGCAGAGCTTCGCTCCGGCCCAGCGAGTTTTCAGGCTAAACTCTCTGGGAACGACCGAATGGGCAGCCCGCAATGAAATCCCCCGAGGTGGGCCGGGATCACCTCCCATCCGCGGGTCCACGCGATTTCGGCAAGGGGCAGCCACAACGCGGCGGCAGCGACAGTTTTTCCAGGGGGAAGCCGCGAGGAAGCGCGCGGTGCGACTTACCCCGAGGATAGACGTAGCCATAGCACGTCCGTGGGCTGGGCGGTGGGGCGGAGGGGACGGCGCTCGGTGAGCGCCCCGCGCTGCCCGGCGGCACTAAGGACACTCCGGCGCGGCGGGGCCAAACTCTGCCTAAGTGCGGGCAGCGCCCGCTTTGAAGTACCGCTGGCGGCGGCGCTCGCCCAATGAGGGCGCGGGCGGAGCGGCCCGGAGCGGCCCGGCAGCCAATCAGGCTGCGCGGAGGTGCCGGCGCCGGGGCGCGGGGCGCGTGCCAGTCAGCGCGCGGGGAGAAAACTCCCCGCTCCGGCCCGCGGCGGCCGCGCCGCAATTACCGCCGGCCCCGGCCGCGCCTCCCGCCGGGCCGCGACTCCCGCCGCCCCCGGCCGCCTGCCCGCCGCGGGAGCGGGCTGAGCCGCAGAGGCCAGGAGTCGAGAGCGAGGTCAGCGCCGGCGGAGGGCTGGTGTCACGCCTGACGCCGCTCCGCCGTCTCCTGTAAACTGTGCAGGAGGTGTCCGATGCGCTGCTGCTGGTGTAGTCACCTGCGATCCTCGCGGCCCGTAAACCATACCTGCGTCGCTTTTATTCAACAGGCCCTTTGCCTCCTTTTCAAGCCATTTGGGAGCCGTCCGTGTTGGATACAAATAACCTAACAGCGCCTAATGACATTCTGTGAAAACACGTTAATTTTTTGTTTTGTTTTCTTTACTAAATGCCAGAAGTGATTTCGTACACAACGTATTTCTTACTTTTGTTGCAAAAGGAATTGAGGAGGCTTTGTGGTTATATAAAGTGCCAAAAGATTCCAAAGGCAGGGAGCCGCTAGGCATCTCTTTGCTCTTGCACCAGGGTGGGAGAGGCGACGAGGGGCATTTGACATCCTGTCGCTTAAGATAGAGGATATTATTTTACAGAGTAATCGCCAGCAAAACACTTTGAAAGTCAAAGTCGCAGCCTGCAGCACGTTTTTCAAGCCTCATATACTCCCGTGGAAGCAGTTCTGGTAATGGCAGAAAGCTTGCTCCCTCCTAGCAGTGCTAGGGCGCTGCTGGAATAAGCTGCCCTAGCTCTTGCCTGTGGCCTCTGCACTGTGCACGCTCCACGCACCCCAGTGAGCGCCAGAGACTATACCTGCTCTCTGCATGTGCAAAATGTAAGTCCAAACCTCGGCTCCTCAATGTCTTGCAAGCTGCTCCCTTTGATTTGTAATTATCGGAGGCTTCTTAAGTAATTGGTTAGAACTTGCCCGTACTCTGCCCGCGGATCAATAGCCGTGCAACTTTTCATCATCGCGGTCGGCTCTGTGAGAATGGGAATAGGAGCTTTTCCCCTTCCTTTTTTGCTGTTCCCAGTGCAGCTGAGTACAATTCTGAACCAGAAATATGATGAGTGCATTCAGCAATGCCGGGCCCTTGCTCTGCTTTTCAGTCAGTATTTCCTTCTCGGTGCCGCCTCAGCCATCCAGTGTAAAACCTTCTAGCAGATGCAAAATAGGCATCGCTTAGGAGCAAAATGGAGAAACCGGGAATTTGAGATTATGATTTCGCTTTTCTTTACACACACACGCACACATACATACATACATATATATATATATATATATATATATATATATATATATATATATATATATGCTGTGCGTGTGCTTAAATAAGGTGGGCATTGTGGTCTTTTCTACATTGTGTTATGCTATCTATAGGACGACTGCCATGAATGTCCCTGGAGATTACCTTTCATTTAAACGTCTAAGGCTATTTTCAATGGGCGCTCGCCTTTATGTCGCCGGGTATTAAACAGAGCCGGGGCAGTAGGTGAAAAAAATACTGTTTTGCGCTTAATTCTTTCCACATTGACTCGCAGCCGGCGCAGGGGTCCGGGTAGTGCGTGGCAAACCCTTCCCTCGAAAGGTCTGCCCGGAGCAGATCCTGAGCGGCGGCTGTACCCAGGGGGGCTGTAGCGCTCGGCGGGTGGAGGCGGCAGAAAGGCGGTGGCGGGGGGAGCGACATAACCCTCACGGGTGAGGCGAGGAGTCCGACAGGGGCACCCGGGAGCCATCGCCCAACAGGTGACTCCTTCCTTCCCTCCTTCCTTCTTTCCCCCTTCCTTTCCTCCGGGGAAACCCGCTCCTTCCCTTCCCAGGAGCCTGCCATGGTGGTCGTCAAGTGGCAGCGCGGCGCTTCTGGCCAACCCCGGGGCGGCGGGGGGAGAGGGTCTCTCCTCTCATCCTGGGGAAAGTCATCAATAAAATACGACTGGAAGGCAGATCGAGAGCGTGACGTTTAAAAATGTTGCCTCTACATCAGCGAGTAAAGGCATCCGCTGCCCGCTTGCGCTCCCACAGCAAAGTAGGGATTCTGCTGTGCCTGAAGACTGGCGGGCGGCTCTGCCTGCCGCACATCCATCTCCTCGCCCCTTTGTAGTCGGAAAAGTAACTAAAACCCGCAGGAATGAGGCAGGCGGTAGAAAGGCTGAGCGAACGGCGGCGGAAGGGGGAACGCTGCAAAAATCTTTAGGGGGTCAAGTATTTTCTGACAGATTTTTTTCATACTCCAAAAATCGAGTTTTTAAACAAAGATCAATGTGTTATGCTAAAGTGTTGAGCTGACTGTTAAAACATTTGGGGGGATAATGACAATGTAACAAAGGCCTGGTTTGGAGTGAATCATCACCCTTTTAAAAGTTAAAGCAATTTTCAGGAGAATAGCTTTCAGCAAATGCTTTACATTATTCAAAACGGCCAAATAATGCTCTATTATAGAGCCTGAATGCTGCCAGTCAGCCCATAAGTGCAATTTGTGCAAAGGCTCGGTGCCTTATCTCCACTTCTTTATAAAGAGGTGAATATAAAACAATTTCTTCCAAACCCAGACAGAGAGCACGAAAATTGCTTCCCTTTCTGCAATCAGGGCAATTTAACTGGAGTGCAATTAGCACTATTAAATGTCGATTCTGCATAAACAAATCTGACTAAGAAGCGAAAGTGGGGTGAGAACCTCATATAAACTGAAACTGATTTTTAAAAATTATGTATCCGGGTCCTTTACAATTGATCCGTGACGTTTTCATCTCAGAATATATTTACATCATAAATACATTACAGTTAAATCAACGTAAATCTAAAAAAAAAAAAAAATCTCAATATGAATGCTAATAAAGAATAGCCTAATTAAATGCAACAGTTCACTTTCTTTGAACAATATTGTTTCCCATCTTCTCTCTAGGAGTGTCTTTTGATCTTTGCAACTACTAAAGTTGCTGTCTTTAGGAGGTAGAGCTGGGAAACAATTCTTTCATTACAGATGGTTGGGAAGCTCCTGGGTTTATATTCAAGAGCATCAGATGAAATGGCTCATCTGTTCAAAAAGAGCTCTAGGAAAGACCTGCCAAATATTTTCCAAATAAATCGATTTAGCAGCAGTTAAATGCAAGGTTGCTGTAAAATTTCCCCTGCATTCTAAGAGGGGCACGGAGTCTTACCCATGGTAGTTACGGATAGGAAGGGGGCAAACCCTTCCAAGTTTAAGAGAAGCAGCCTAATTTTCTGCCAAACAGAAGGGACATGGGCACGAAACAGGCAAACTGTTCATTGCCGAGATAAATAATTGCGTCCTGCCAGTTATTTTTTTTTCTTTTAGCAACAGTTCTTCCCTGTGAAACCCCCTCCCCCCTCAATTACACTCTTCATTTACGTGATCTAGAAGCCAGCATTATCAGAGCAGCTCAGAGGGGTACCTAGTGATAAATTAATAACTTCAGTTAGGAAAAGGCTTCCCTGCTATTCTGCCCAAGACTGGATACTACAAGGGGGAAGTATATATAGAGATAGTGTTAAAATACAGACTTCGGTGCCTGTTGAGTCCCCTGAAATCTTTCCACCTTAAAGTTTTTCATTTGTAGGTAAAGATGAAGTGCAGCTTTTGATTAGAAGGAAATCTTTTATAGTTAATAAAAAAGGAATGAGTACTGGGATCAAATAGATAATGGAAATTAAATGAAAATTATGGTGCTCTCCCACAATTTCTGCTTGATCTTTCATATGATGTTTGTTACATGGTGCACTCCCCTCTCCTCCTGCCCCCAGCACACTGAGCCCCGAGGTGGAGCATCAGGCTGGGCTTTCATATTTTCTCGATCTTTAAGGTGACGCTGTTTAGGAGTAGCAGGGAGACCCATATTACCCCGTGTTTAAAAATCTGCACAATAGTTTCAGAAATCCTGTCGTTTACTGAACGCAGTCAAAAGCGTGTCTTTGGAATTAATTATCTTCCGCTAAATTTATTTGGACTGTGAATTTTAAAGCTCCCTTGTTCTGTTTATCTCAGCCGGAGACACGTTAACAATTCAAGGGAAGACTAGTGTCAAAGGAAGGAAGGTGACTGCAGACTGGATGATGATTTTAATTACTACAATTATTGGGAGATTATTCAACAGCATCATAGATTTGTTTTCTGCCTTGGTATGAAAGTCTGAGGAACACTGTGCGAGAAGCGTTGTACGAGGATTTTACCTCTTGGTTCACACGCTTTCCTGTGCTGTTACGGTGTATGGGTTAGGCATGACAAGCTCAGACTGCAGCAGGTTGGAAATTCAGCCAGTGCTGGCGTCCAGAAAGCTTTCTTAAAACGCAGGTGTTTCTAAATAGGAAAACTTTAATTAGTAAACGCTTGGACCCAACGTTTATAGAGCGTAAAACCGCCTTTCCGCACAAGTGCATTAAAGCAGCTCTGCTGACTCGGTGATGAGGTGCGCGGTGAGCCGGGCAGCGGCGGCCGGGACGGCGAGCTCGGCGGTCCCGGGCAGCGCCCGGCCCGCCCCGGCCCGCCCGGCTCCTCCGCCCCGCGGCTCCCCCGCCGGCGCCGCTCGGCCACGGGAAGCGGCAGAACCGGAGCAGCATCGCCACGGAGGAGTCCTGTCCCCACATTGCTCCTGGCATCCCGCTTCCCTGCCCTCCTAGCTTTTTATACCACGTTTTTAGCCAGGCGTGACTCAGAATGTTGACTGTGATTAAGCAAGCTGTCTATCTAGAGATAGAGATATGTGGCAGCGTAATTGGCAGGATGATTGACATTACAAAGTTCTCTTCGGTCCACAATGACCAATAAATCCTCCTGCAGCTTTTGCCATT